GATCCAACTTAGCTACGAACATCGAGGTCAGGAAGGGGCCGAATTTCCAATCAGGACCACATTCTCATCAGCACAACACAGACACTCCTCAAGAGCTGAGGGAGGCTGTGACAGCCAAGCTTCCAGACACTCAAAGCACTGCTGTGGATCAGGCCTCACTGAGTTAAATGTTAGTGATTGTCCATCTAGTCGCGGCCACGAGGTCAACTAGACAAACTGCAAAGATTAGGGAAACACATGGTGGCCAATGCCAGGGGTTAGGCACAGCATTGTATAGAGTATGGAGGAGTTCGAGTGTGCTATAAGTACTGCCATATCTCAAGCAGGTGAACACGTGGCATTCCCCATTGAGTGGTTGGTGACTTCAATGGACAGCCAAGGTCAAGCAACTGATCCAAATATATTCTGAACTGCACTCCTTCAGGGTTGGCACCAAACAGTTTTCCTTTAGTTCAGAACCCATAGGCTGCATGTTATCTGCTTTTGCTCTCACTTTCCCATGGGAAGGCTACATTATTTAGAATGTACAATGTTCTCCAGTAAACAAGCCTTTTAAACCGCAGCCACCTCTTTACACTGTCTCCTTTGTTTAAAGCAGTATTTTCCTTTTCTTTCATCTACAATCCAAAACTAAAGAAAATAAAACAACGTGGTACTTACAGTACAAACTTAAAAAAAGCTGAGATTACACTCTCAAAGACAATGGGGTCAGTGCTGTGCTAGTGGGAGTAACTGAAAGCATTTCTGAGCTTCACAACTCAGGGAAGACATAATGGCCAAGGAGGAAGTGTAGCATGGTTTCACTGGAAGGATCCCAGGGGTGCAAGGCTTAACTCATGAGGAGAGATCACACAAATTGGCATATTGATGGTTATGGGATTACTGAATCAAGGATTTTTAGCTATTGAATTTAACAGATAGGTTTTGATAGAGAAAAAACAATTTGTGATGACAAGAGTCAAAAAATTTGAGACCTTTCAGGAGTGGGATTCAGAAACTCGCAAAGGTTGGGAGATCTTTATGTTATATAATGCAGCTACAGATCTTTTGTCAGATCTGCCACTGTGCCAGCTGTTTCTTATGTTGAAGGTCACAGCCAGCATCCTCTCTCAGTACAGGGACCTAGTGTTATTTCTGATGCCTTCCAGACTCAAAGCCCCACTGCTCATGCTCCTATTGAAAGCACCACAACAGCTAGTGCTTATGGCACTCTTCAACATCAATCCTTTCAGAGCCACACACAACAGTTTACAACTCTCTTTCATAAACTGCAATGGATGCCAGATTCACTGTCCATTTCAAATCTGTGATTGGGCAATTTTTGTGAGTAAAAATGCCTGAGGTGGTGGGGCAAAGGTGGGTGAATGTGAATGGAGTTAGGTCACAGGTCAGCCTTGACCCTCATTGAATGGTCGAACAGGCTCAGGGCCCTCCCCCTCGCATTCCAATGTGTCCAGAATTCAGAACAATTGGTAATTAGGTAGTCAAGTGTCAAAGCTGAATTTTGAGGGATTTTGCTGTGGAAATGATAGAATTTTATGGTGAATGTGTAATTAAGGATGTCAAAACTTTCAAAGTATTATCATTACGAAGGTCCATTTTGATGAATCATTTGGATGACTCATTCTGCAGTTTAGAGTTTGTTCCTGGTATCTGAGTGTTGGGGTCAGGGTCAGAACAGACATATAGGTCACACCATGCTGTGTTACAGTGTTTGAGACTGATCCACAAACAGCAGTGGGATGTCCCAGGTTCAGACAGGGGTGCAGTTCCTTGCACGTCATGCTGAAGGTACAGCTTTCATCCACACAACTAGCCTGCAATAATTTCCACAGGGAATATTGTGGGTTTATCTGTGAACTCTAACACACGAAGGATGGATCCTCTTAGATAAATATAACATGGAGCATCAGTTCAAATAGACATCACAGCCCCACAAGAGAAAGCACGTTTATAATTATGATCTCAGAACAGAGAGATTATAGCAATTACAAAATTATGTATTATTTTGAAATGATGGTGTGTATGACGCTGAGCTTCATACATGTTCATTCTGAAATCCTGAATTGATGACCCAAGATTAACAAGGATGGTGTGCCTCATAGTTTGGGGGAACTGGCTCATCATTGTTGTTCATTACATCAACTGAAGAGTATAACAAAGGGGGTAGAGGGACATGTAGCCCTACTTCTGGGCCAAAAGGGACAGGTTCAAGTCTCACCTGCCCCACAGGTATGTCATAACCTGCCTGAACAGGATGATTATTGAACATAGAACTGTACAGCACAGTACAGGCCCTTCGGCCCATGATGTTGTGCCTAACTTTAGCCCTAAACCTAAGGTCTAACCTCCACCCTTACCTTATACTATCATCCATATGCCTATCTAATAGCTGCTTAAATGCCACTAATGAAGCCGACTCCACTACCCTCTCTGGCAATGCATTCCACGCCCCTACCACTCTCTGAGTAAAGAACCTACCTCTGATGTCTCCCCTATATCTACCTCCACTCACTTTAAAACTATGCCCCCTCATAATAGCTACCTCCACCCTAGGAAAAATTCTCTGGCTGTCTACTCTGTCTATACCTCTGATCGTTTTGTACACCTCTATCAAGTCACCTCTCATCCTTCGTCGTTCTAAAAAGAAAAGCCCTAGCTCTCTCAACCTTTCCTTGTAAGACCTTCCCTCCATTCCAGGCAACATCCTGGTAAATCACCTCTGTACCTTTTCCAATGCTTCCACATCTTTCCTGTAATGAAGCGACCAGAAGTGGACACAATATTCCAGATGTGGCTGAACCAGGGTTTTGTATAGCTGGAGTATAACTTCACAGCTCTTGAACTCCATCCCTCTATGAATGAAAGCTAACACACCATATGCCTTCTTAACAACTCTATCCACCTGGGTGGCAGCTTTCAGGGAACTGTGGACATGAGCCCCAAGATCCCTCTGCTCCTCCACACTGACAAGAGTCTTTCTGTTAACCCTGTATTCTGCTTTCAAGTTTGTGCTTCCAAAAATGAATCACCTCACACTTTTCAGGGTTAAACTCCATCTGCCACTTCTCAGCCCAGCTCTGCATCCTATCAATGGCCCTTTGTAATCTAGAACAGCCCTCCACACCATCCACAACTCGATCCACCTTCGTATCGTCTGCGAACTTACTAATCCACCATTCTACTCCTACATCCAAATCATTTACAAAAATCACAAATGGAAGAGGACCCAGAACAGATCCTTTGGTACACCACTCGTAACTGAGCACCATGTTGAATATTTTCCGTCCACTACCACCCTTTGTCTTCTAAGGGTCAGCCAATTCTGTATCCAATCTGCCACATTTTCCCCTATTCCATGCCTCCTTACTTTCTACATGAGCCTACCATGGGGAACCTTATCAAACCTTACTTAAATCCATGTATACCACATCCACTGCTCTACCTTCACCCACGGTTCGGTCACCTCTTCAAAGAATTCAATAAGGTTTGTGAGGCATGATCTACCCCTCACAAATCCATGCTGACTGTATCTAATCAAACTGTGCCTATCCAAGTGATCATAAATCCTAACTCTCAGACCCCTTTCCAATAATTTGCCCACGACTGAAGTAAGGCTAACTGGCCTGTAATTTCCGGGGTTATCCCTATTCCCTTTTTTGAACAAGGGAATGACGTTTGCCTCTCCCCAATCTTCCGGCACTATACCCGTGGATAGTGAGGACGAAAAGATCATCGCCAAAGACCCTGCGATCTCTTCTCTTGGTTCCCATAGAATCCTTGGATAAATCCCATCAGGCCCGGGGGACTTATCTATCTTCAAGTTCCTCAAAATTCCTAGTACATCTTCCTTACTAATATCCACCTCCTCTAGTCTACCAGCCTGTTTCACCCTGTCCTCCCCTACAACTAGGTCCCTCTCAGTTATGAATACCAAAGAAAAGTATTCATTAAGGACCTCTCCTATCTCATGCCCCATTATAGCTCTCCTGAGCCCTTTCTTCAGCTTCTTCCTGGATAACTTGTCTCCCTCTAGAGCCTTTTCAGATCCTTGTTTCCTAAACCTTATATAAGCATCCTTCTTCCTCTTAACCAATCGTTCAATCTCTCTTGAGAACCAAGGCTCCCTCACTCGACCGCATCTTCCCTGCCTGCTAGGGACAAGCATATCGAGCACACGCAGTATGCATTCCTTAAACAATCTCCACATTTCTATAGTGCTCTTCCCTGACAGCATCTTTTCCCATTTTATGTTACCCAGCTCTTGCCAAACAGAATTATAATTACCCTTCCCCCAATTATAAACCTTACCCTGCTGTACGTACCTATCCTTTTCCTTGACTATTGTAAAAGTAACAGAGTTATGATCGCTACTGCCAAAATGCTCTCCTACCAACAGGTCTAATACTTGGCCCGATTCATTGTCAAGCACCAAATCCAAAGCGGCCTCTCCTCGTGTTGGTCTATCTACATACTGTGTCAGGAATCCTTCCTGAGCGCACTGGACAAAATCCGCTACATCTGAACTATTACAACTAAAAAGTTTCCAATCAATATTTGGAAGTTGAAGTCACCCATGACAACAACCCTGTGACTTCTGCACCTTTCCAGTATCTGCCTCCCAATCTGCTACTCCACTTCTCTGCATCTATTAGGGGGTCTGTAAAAAAGCCCCCAACAAAGTGACTGCCCCTTTCTCGTTCCTGACCTCGACCCAAACTGACTCTGTAGATATATCATTCTCGAACTGCCTTTCAGAAGCTGCTATACTAGCCCTGACCAGCAATGCCACTCCCCTGCCTCTTTTACCACCCTCCGTATTTCTTTTAAAGCATCTAAATCCCAGAGCTTCCAACAACCATTCCTGTCCCTGAGTTACCCAAGTTTCTGTGAAGGCCACAACATCGTAGTTACATTCTCACATTAGCCTGGACATTTTGTTTGCCTGATGACGTGACACTGCATTCTCTCCGGGTGTTGCAATTTCCTCATTTCCAACTCCCAGTGATATAAACAACAGTTCAGAGACAACACCCTGCACCCAGAGAGACACTGACAGAGAGTAACTCAGACCCAGGATCGAGGACCCGTGAAAGAAAAATGACCAACATTGGGAAAGTATATGTCTGCTCCATTTCAACATGGCAATTTGTTCAGTTTGATGCTGTCTTTGTTTCCATCTGGGTGGATGTGATTGCTTCATGTGATTTCAAAGAAGAAATGTGAAACATTTTGTGGATACAACTGCTGAGCGAAAATGTTGCAATGTAAATTTCAGTCTTTCAGAATACAATGTTCTGAAAGATTTTTAAAATGAGTGTTACTCTGGAATATCAAACAGTGCAGGAGTTTGAGAAATTCTGTAATGTCAGTTGTGTCTTTGGAAAGATCGCAGTGCTGATGGAGTGTTGCAATGTCAAAGCGACAGTACTGAGAGTGCCGCACTGTTGGAGAGCCAGTAATCAGGGAGTGCTGCAATGTTAGAGGCTTGGTACTGAGGGAGTGCTGCACTATTGGAGGGTCAGTGCTGAGGGGATGCCTCACTGTCAGAGTGTCAGTCTGAGGGACGGTCAGTAAGGAAGGTGTTTGGAATTAGCACTAACTGCCAGGTGAATGGATGATGCGCTGTAATACAGAAATGTGGAGATAGACTCTACTAGAGTCATTATCTGATTGACCAGTTTTTGCAACACTCTCTTTGACCCTGTGAATTATTTGCTGTGTTTGTTTCAGGTGATCTGGTTGTTTTCAGCTTTCTGTCACTTCAGCCGTTGCTCCATTACCTCTCAGGACTGTACCTGGGCATCTGAGGTAAGTGTCTGCTACAAACAGGTGAGTGAGGAAGAAAGTGACTGAGTGAGTGAGTGTGTGTGAAAAAATGAGGGAGGGGGTGAATGAGTGAGTGAGTGAGTGAATGAGGGAGGGAGGGAAGGAGAGGGGGTGGGTGAGTCAGTGAGTGAAAAGTGATTGAATGTGTGTGAATGAGTGAGAATGAGAGAGTGAGTTTGAGTTAGTGAGCCTGAGTGAGTGAGTGTGAATCAGAGAGTAAGTGTGGGTGAGTGAATGAGTAAGTGAGTGTCAGTGAGTGAGGCGGTGATTGAGGGAGGCTGAGGGAGTGTGTCAATGAGTGAGTGTGTAAGGAAGGGGCTGGGTGGCTGTTGGGTTAAATGACATTGAGCGGCACAGACCCACATGTCTCCAAGGCTCCAGTTCCTCCTTGCGAACATCCAGCAAGGCCAGGAGAAAAAGCCAAGCAGAAATCCAATGCCTTGCCCACATTATCGTGTGAATTCAGCAGAGGCAAGCTGTGTGAGTGCTCCTCTAGATGCAGTGCCGTGTTACTTACTCCTGAGTGATTTCAGCCTCAATTCCCATCCCATTCCCAGTGATGAGGACTGATCTGTTCCACTCAAGCTCTGCTTCTGAACGAAGATAACAGGAACAATTTATTAGTTAGCTCCACTGCTAGGAACACATAAATGGTTTGCAGATTTTGAAATGTTTCTTAATTGCGAAATTCATTTTCACTGTTGTGACAATCTTTATCTTTCCAAACCCAGCACTTCACTGTCAAAGGGTCAGTGCTGAGGGATTGCTGCACTGTCAAAAGTCAGTACTGAGGGAGTGCTGCACTGTCAGAGGGTCAGTGCTGAGGG